TTATATAAAGAACGCTGTGTTGAAAACAATAAAGTCTCTACCATGTTGTACTACCGTAGAATTTTCAATAGAGTGTTTAATCTACGTTTTCACAAACCTCACACTGATACTTGCTCAAGGTGCGATAGTTTGCAAAATATTATTAAACATTCAGCCAATGAAGACAGTGTGAAATCAGCTAAGACATTATTGGAAGTCCATCTAACAAAGACGGATAAAGCATCTAAAGCAAAGGATTTAGACATTACAATGCACAACAACTTGACGGATACACTTGGAATGAAACTGTAGGTGGTAGAGAATCACAAGAAATTGGTTCTTGCTTAATACATTTTGTTAAGCAATTGTCCCCCAATGTTATCAAACTCATACCATATAGTGATTCATGTAGGGAGCAAAATAAGAATAAAAATATATGCAAATTATTTATGTTTCTAACTAAAGCTACCCGCCTAGAAGAAATTCATAAATTTTTAGAACCGGGCCATATATACATGGAATGTGACAGAAACTTCGCTTTAATTGAGAAAAATAAAAAGAATCCACAAGTATTCATACCTAATCAGTGGAGGACAGTGATTGCTCGTTCCTGAAAGAAATTTATCGTGTGTAATATGACTCAAGAAATGTTTAACTCCTTTGAAAATTCAGACAAAGATTTCAAAAAAATCTCCGATGGAAAACCATTGAAATTCAGAGAAGTCGCTTATTTTAAATATGACAAATATATCGAAACATTTTCATTTGAGTTTAAACATACTCTAGATCAGTGGTTCTCAAACTTTTTTTGTTGACGGAACCTTTTTGAAAAGCGAAATTTTCGACGGAGCCCTAAACACATTTCTAAAAAAAAAGGTCCTTAAGCAAAATCATATCCTCCTTCCTCTTAGTGACTTCTACAACAACAAAAAAAGTACTCAAGCCAGGACACCCCCTCATGAGGCGATAATACTGTTTTTCTACACCCGTATTATAATAATGCACTTATATGCCCATAATCCGTTTCATAATGATACCCATTATGATACAGATTTTTCATTACGATACAGATTTTTAATCAATAGAAACCTACAATTTTTCAATCAAGCATGCTGTTTGACGTTTGTCCTAGGTTCCTATGTAATTATTTTAGTTGTCAAAACGTATTAAATTTTCGTAGGTAGCTAAACTTCGATAATTATAATATTAAAATGTCTGATATTAGCGATATAGAAGACTCCTCCACACATATCGGAGAAAGCAGAAAATACAGTACAAAATATTTTACCGCAAAAATCTAGGGAAATACCAATACCTGAAGTAATACCATTAATTACAATTTTGTAGAATTTTTTATAGAAATACGAGTAATTACTGTTATTGTGTTCAATACCAATATAAATATAATATTTATAGGTCTTGATTATTTATCGGGTGTAGAAAAAATAGCGTATGCAACTCTCATGTAATGGTTATTAAAACACTCGCATAAACCATACGAAACTCGCCTTTGGCTCGTTTCGTATCCCGGTTAATGCTCGTGTATTAATAACCATCATTACATGATCGTTGCATAATATACTATTTTTTTATTTATTATGATATGACTACTGTATTGGAGATCACCTAGCAATTGACGTGTCATTAAATTATATAAAGGAAAAATGTTATGTAACTGATATCAATGAAAAAATACATTTTAGAGACTTATTAGAGGCGAATTTACTTAATCTGCAGCAAAAAATAAGTTCTGAAAATTTTGATTCTGTGTATGAATATTTTGATAACATAAATCTTGCCTATGAAACATTCTTAAATATTCTAAATTACTATATAGAAGTAAATTGTCCGGTTGTCACAAGAGCTGTAAAGACAAATAAAAAAATAACTGGATAACTCCAGATATTTTGAGGATGGGAGCTGATATAAGGAATTTATTTTGGTTAGTAAAAAATTCTAATGATGTGAATATACATATTAGATACAAAGAAGCAAAGAGACAGTATGTCAATAATATAAATGGAGCAAAAAAATCTCATTTTCAAAAGGGATTGCAAAATAAAGCTTTTCAGCAAAAACAAAAATATATATGGAAACAGGTAAATCACCAAGATGGTAAAACATCAAAAGGTTCTCAAATTAAACAAATTGAAGTAGGAGGACTGTCAATTATTGAACCAAAACAAATAGCTAAAGTTTTTGCAGAGCATTTTGCCACCTCCACAAAAAAAGCACTATAGTCTCATTTCAATGATTTTAATTTTAAAAATTTTACTGCGTCATGTGTCTCTCAGACCTTTTACTTCTCTCCTGTTGATCATCGTGATGTAATTGAAGTTATTCACTCATTAAAAAATGTTAACTCTATTGGCATTGACTGCATTTCCACAAAGATAATAAAACGTATTAGTCATCACATCTCTCAAATTTTAGCAGACTTAATCAATCAGTCTATTCAGCTAGGTATTTTCCCAGATTATCTGAAAGTAGGATATGTAACTCCTATCTTTAAAAAAGGTGATAATAATTTAATTGATAATTATAGACCTATTACAGTGCCTACAATTTTAAGCAAAATCTTTGAAAAGTGCGTCCACAAAAAAATGCTAATATTTCTTAAAAAATATGAAATAATATGCAAAAATCAAAATGGATTCCTTCCAGAAAAATCTACTGAAAGTGCAGCAATACATCTTTTTAATTTCATACATACTTCTATCGATCAAAAGTTGTTTGTTGGTGCGCTTTTCTTTGATTTGTCAAAGGCGTTTGATTCAATCAACTTAGATGTCGCTATTCAAAAATTGGAAGGGCTTGGTTTTAGAGGTAACTTTTTGTCTTGGTTTTCATCTTATATAAATAACAGACAGATCTATGTCAAAGTTGGAAATTGTAAATCTGAACTAGAAAGTGTTGATATGGGTGTGCCTCAGGGATCAATTTTAGGACCTTTAATTTTTCTATGCTACATAAATGATATGCCTAATCATATTAACTCAGAAAACATAATTTTATATGCAGATGACACAACAATTGCCACCAACGCACAATCAGTAGATGAATTAATTAGTAAATTAAATGTTTTATCTAATGAGTTTACATCATGGTGTTATAGAAATTCGTTAATTGTTAATTCAAACAAAACCGTTTGCCTTCAGTTCTACTCCAGAAATCAAATTACCCAGAATTGTAAAGTAAATGTCAATAATGCAGAAATTATGCTCTCAGATGTTACCAAATTTTTGGGCATACATATTGATAGCAATATGGGTTGGGATAGCCAAATATCTAATGTTTGTAAAAAATTAAACAGCGCATACTATGCAATACTAAAATTAAAATCAATATTTACCCAAGAGCAACTGCTTAATGTCTACTATGCTTTAGCATATTCTCATATATCATACAACATTATTCTTTGGGGTGATGCAGTCAATGCATCTAAAGTATTTATCTTACAGAAAAGAATAATCCGGCTTATTTTTAATCTAGAATTAATGCAAACTTGTAAATATAACTTCAAAAAATTTAAAATATTAACATTTCCCTGTATTTACATTTATAAAACGTTGCTATATGCTAAACGCAACATACACCAATTTTTACAAAATTCAAATTATCATGAATACTCAATTAGGAATGCAAATTTATTCAGAACACCAAGACATTCAACAGCATTATTCGAGAAATCGCCTGAATTTGTTCGAATTAAATTTTTTAATCAACTCCCTGATTTCATTAAATCTGAAAAGAAATATGAACCTTTTAAAAGAAAACTTAAAAACTATTTAGTAGATTCATGTTTTTATAATTTATCTGAATACCACCATATTTTAAGGCAAATGTTTTTCTATTTGTATATTTTTAATGTGCATGTCTTAGATATGTATATATATATTTTTTTTTTTTTTTTTGTATACTGTACCTATATTTATTTGTATTTTAATATTTTTTATTCATATATATTATGACTTATCCTATATCATGTAACATGATCCTAAAGGACAAATAAACTATTATTATTATTATTATTATTATTATTATTATTATTATTATTATTATTATTATTATTATTATTATTATTATTATTATTATTATTATTATTATTATTATTATTATTATTATTATTATTATTATTATTATTATTATTATTATTATTATTATTATTATTATTATTATTATTATTATTATTATTATTATTATTATTATTATTATTATTATTATTATTATTATTATTATTATTAATTATTATTATTATTATTATTATTATTATTATTATTTTCTTCGCGGAGCCCCCAGAAAGGCTTTGCGGAGCCCCAGAGCTCCGCGGAGCACACTTTGAGTAACACTGCTCTAGATAGTTCGTATCCATTTTCAAAATGTGCTTGCGGATCACGTTTCGTCGGACGTCGAACGTTTTCCTTAGAATCAAGACTGCAGCAATCTAACAAATCCCCAGTGCCTATTAAACTTGAAAAATGGAATAATCACCAGAGCCTTCTGGAGTACATTCCACCTATTTATCATGGGTTTTACAAAAATATGATCCATCAAAAATCTAAAGGGAAGAAAGCACACAAGGCCAAAACAGCAACTACTAAAAATTCAGAACCAGGACCCAATGGAGCCAATGTAGAATCGGATGGTGAAGAAGACTTGGATGATCATGACCTTGATTCGGATTATGAATCATAAGTTGTATTTCCTTTAATAAACATACTTATATTAAAAAATAGTTTTATTTGACCAACTTTTACAAAATTACTATTTTCTTTTGAGAAAAAAGGGTATAAGTACATGAAATTCAAAATTTTGGCTGAACTAATTTTTATTCATAGAATTTTGCCTCATTTTTTTAGCCACATACCTTAACAGTAAGACAATTTAATTTTCATTGAATTTTCAAATAGCAATTAACTTTAACATCTAATTACTCAAAACTATATAATCTGCACTTAAATCCTTTTTGCTCTAACCCCTTTAATCTACGTATTTTACAATAACATACCTCTTTTTTGTAGTATTCCTGTCGCAAGCCATGCGAGAGGAGTTCCAAAGGTTGTACCGCAGCTGAACCTCACATTTGCCGAAAATATTGTTATGAAGAGTGCGGAACTTGTCTAGCACCAGTGCGCAAGAAGCGCTCGTGTGGTCACATGTTCAACATGGGCTGCAGCATAGATCCCGAGACTATAGTTTGCGAAAAACCTTGTAAGATAACTTTGAATTGCGGTCACAAATGCAAAGAAACTTGTGCCAAACCTTGTGGACCATGTAAAGAGAAGGTAATTTATAACAGTTTTACTTATTTTACTTTTTTATATTCTTTTTTAATTTTTTTTTGTCAATGAAAATAAAGGCATTAGTAAAGTAGTAAATTCTGAAATTAGACAACACATTTTGCGCTTCTGTATTTTGGATTACTTAACGCATGTTTTGTTGAATTTATAATAACGTTCAGATTATGGTCGTAGAAAAATTAGTGCACACAACTCGTTGGGAGGTGTATATTACTTTCCACACCAGTTATTATGTACTATTTTATTAATGTTATTATAGGTAGAAAAAATAGTGCCAGACTGCAACCACAAAATCAAAATTAATTGTTTTGAACTACCAAATAGGAAATTGTGCAAGGGAAAATGTCCTCGTCTTTTACCATGTGGACACGTGTGCAATAGAAAGTGCAATGAAGATTGTACAGAAAAATGCAAAGAAATCGTGGATTGCTCCATCATCAGTCCATGTGGACATGTGATCAAAAAAATAGCTTGTCACGTCAAAAGAAATCGTAAGTATCATATTAACTGATTAGGAATATCGTTTATATAACATAGAAAATTAGGAGTGAAAAAATTGATCCTTGAGACACACCTAGATCAACACTTTCTAGTTCAGATTTACAATTACCGACTTTGACATATATCTGCTACTTATATAAGATGACAACCAAAAGACGAAAAGTACCTCTAAAACCAAGCCCATCAAATTTTTTATTTTTTTTTTAATTAATGAAAGAAAAGTGCGTCCACAAGCAACTTTTGATCAAGAGAAGATGGTGATAAGTAATGGACGGCTTGATTTTTTTTTAATTCCCTCTTTTTGAGGGAGTTTAGTTACCGTGATGTAGCGTTGCCAAATTTGTTTCATAATTTTTTTTCAAAATATTTAATTAACAGTAAATTCTACATCAAAATACCTTAGAACATAAACTTGTAGAGCATGTGATTTTCTACAGTTTTTGTTTGTACCATTTTCATAGTGTCAATATTTTATGAAATATGTAACATTTAAAAATATTTATGGCAAATATTTTCTAAATGACGTTATATCATAAAAATCATAACATGAGAAAGGTCTATTTTATCCTACAAAAGATACGTTTGATTACTGCAATTTAGAAAAAATCAAGATCAGATCAAGAAATAATTAAAAAATCTGATGAAAGTTGTTTTTAACAGTTTATTGTCGTGTTAAATAATTTGGTATAATTTTTTTTCTTCTAGGATTGCTTTAAACCATAAAGACAACTAGAAAAATCTAAAATTTTCAATACATTTTTCCTCCAATATGGCCTAATAGATTTAAAAAAATGTTCATATCTCATAGACAACTATAAAAATCCAATTTTCAACAAAAGTTTTCAAAACGACTTACCAGATTCTTCAAGATTTGCCACTTTTGTCGTGTGTATATTATGAGAATTATTAAAAATCTGAGATTTCATAAAAAAAAATTTTCTCCAAAACGACCTAGATTTTTCAAAATTTGCTTATTTGTTACTTAGATCGTGTGTATGTTATGAAACTTGTTTGAAAATGTTTAAACCTAGTTTGCTTCAAGAAGAAAAATCGAATTTTCAACAAACGTTTTGCTCCAAAACTGCCTACTAGTTTTTTTTTTTAAATTTACCTATTTCGTAACAAAGTGTTTCTTCCAAAAGGCCTACTAAGTTGTTTCAAAATGTTTAAACTTACAATTTGTTTCAGTTCAAATCTTAAAGACCACTAGAAAAATCAGATTTTCAACAAAAACATTTTTCTCCAAAATGGCATTGTAGATTTTTCAAAATTTGACTATTTACCACGTGTCATAATATGTATATTACATAGATATAGAAACCACGTATATTATGATGAACTACAAAAAAACTTAATTTTCATAAAGAATTGTTTCCTCCAAAAGACATACAAGATTTTTCAAAATTTGACTATTTACCACGTGTCATAATATGTATATTACATAGATATAGAAACCACGTATATTATGATGAACTACAAAAAAAACTTAATTTTCATAAAGAATTGTTTCCTCCAAAAGACATACAAGATTTTTCAAAATTTGCTCATTTGTTACTTGGATAGTGTGTATATTGTGGATTTTTTTTTAAATGTTTAAACTGACAATTTGCTTCAAATCTTAAAGACAACTAGAAAAATCATAATTTCAACAAAACGACTTACTAGCTTTTCAAAATTTGCCCTTTTGCCACATTCGTTGCCCCAATAAGAAAAATCTCAGGTTTGAAAAATTTTACAGGGGAGAAGACAAACGTTATTTTTTAACAAATACATTATTACTGTTTTTCTTCACATCTAACACATATAACTTTGAATGTAACACAAAATCATTCCTACGCGTTCCTCTTTAAACAAAAGTGTGGAGCTAGGCAAATTTCTTTTTGGCAATTGACAAATCGGAAATAGGCAAATTTCTATTATTTCAATTTAAAATTAACCGGTTAAGTTGCCACTCTAAAGTTTTGTCAGAAAGTGGCTTAACCGTTATTCTAATAGATGGTATCTAAATCTCATTTTCGCAAAAAAGTGGAGTTAGGCACTTTTCTTATTAGGGCGACGAATATCGATTATACATTATGAAAGAAAACTAGAGAAAATGCTGAAATTTCATAAAAAAAATGTTTTCTCCAAAAGGGCCTACCAGATTATTTTTTATTTTCCCCACTTGCTACTTTGGTCGTGTGTATATATTATAAGAATTTTTTGAAAATGTTTAAACTTACAAGTTTGCTTCAAATAAAGACAACTAGAAAAATCAGATTTTAAACAAAAAAAAATCTCCAAAACGGACTACCAGTTTTTCTAAAATTTTAAACTTTTTTTGGTCAAGTTGGATAATTATGTGAATTTCTTTCAAGTCAATTTATATCTAGATGACGAAAAGATTCTCGTCAAAAATTGCACGGAACCTTGCAACGCACAATTAGCCTGCAAACATAAATGTTCCGGTAGCTGCGGCCAATGTTACCAGGGACGGTTCCACCAAAGGTGCCTACAAAATTGCGGTGTAATTCTAGTTTGTAACCATGAATGTCCGATACCTTGCAGGGAAGCCTGCAAACCTTGCAGGAAACCGTGCGAGTACAGATGTGCACACAGCCAATGCAGAAAATTGTGCGGTGATCCATGCACCCCGTAAGTATATTCACTATACTTGTATTTCGTTTTATTTGAAAATAAAAGGAACATTTGTTCCCTATGGGAATCGAACTCGCTATATCTATCAAGCACGAAAAAAATATATTTATATTTCCTGGAACTTCGATTTGTAAGTTAGTACAACAAGATTATTTTTAATTAGGTGTAAAGAAAAATGCAAGAGAAAATGTCCTCATCAAGAATGTAGAAAACGTTGCGGAGAATTTTGCTCGGTCGATCCCTGCACCCAACCGTGTCCTAAACGAATAAAGAAATGTGAACATCTGTGCGTCGGATTTTGTGGAGATCCGTGCCCGCCATTGTGCAGAATTTGCGACGTTGATGAACTTACAGATATCTTTTTCGGCACTGAAGACGACGAGGATGCAAGATTCGTCTTACTAATAGGTAAGCAAAACATAGTTTTTACATGCTAAAAATATAGTCAGAACAAATTAAAAATATATACATAGTAAAAACATATTAAAAACATAGTAAAAACATAGTGAAAACATAGTAAAAACATAGTAACATAGTATAAACATAATAAAACTATAATAAATGTTCGGCAAAATTTTTTCTCTTGCCAAGCTGTCAAATGTAGACAAATCGAAGTAGGTAGCTGTCTGAACTATTTCTCGTCTTGCAAGTGATATGGTAACCTAGGGATGCGACATGGGTTAGCGTAAGTGAGATCGGTCCGTCATTTTGTTAAGCTCCATTGTTCAATTTTATAGATTATATTTCTAGTGTAATTAAATTTGATCTGTATACGATTTAGTCCATATTTCTTTATAGTCGGGACTGCGTAATACATTATAGTTATTTATGCAACAAGTGCAAAAAGTAAGTGTTTATTGCACGCCACGTCGAGTGCAATAAACATTTTTTGCACGAGTTGCATACAATATTTTTTCTACGTTCATGCAAAAACCAAAAAATGTTTTATTTAGGGGACACAAAGTGCAGAAGAATAAAATGCGTAATTCAATAGCAATATATTTAATAACTAATAAAGCATCGATTAACATTGAAAAAGTACTAACTATGATAAGAAAAATAATTTAACTAAAACTTTAGGAACAACTGTGTTATGAACAATAATTAAGCTTAAACGTTGTTTTTGCCACTAATATTAAAAGTAAATGTACAAGTTGTACAATTTTCAATATTAATATTTTTTAGAACGTAATACAATCTCACAGAAAATGAAAATGGACTAAATATTTGGCGTCGATTTGAATATTTATGTTTGTCATGATCATAAAACGCTGTAATAAAATGACAGATGAGTGCAATAAAATTTTTATTGCACTAGTGCAATAAAGAACCAGTTTTTTCACTAAATATATAGTTAAATAAAGTATTGTTTTTTGCATGAACGTAGAAAAAAGCTTTTAAGGTAAATATTTTATTATTTTACTAGATTGTGGCCACGTGATGGAGGCAACTGGTATGATAAATTGGTTAGATCAGAAACGAGAAAATGACGATGAAGATCGGAAGATTCAACCTTTAGTTTGTCCAAAATGTAAAACAGTAATTAAAAAAACCGCTCGATACAGTGACTACGTAAAACAAAGTATGAATGATTTAAGAAATGTTAAGATGAAGTTCTACGGAAAATGGAAAGAAATTGAAGTTATTAGAAAAAGATTGCAGGAGAAATTGTCAACGATGTATGAGGGTAATGCTAAGAAAGAGACGACGACGAATACTATTAGGGAGCAACTAAGGAGGTTAACTTTATTCGGAGGAAGAGAAAATATTAACACAGTAAATACAAATAAGATTGGTAAGTATGATACAATTTTTTTATTACTAATTTTTTTTTTTTTTTTAGTATTGTTACTAATCACTATTGACTAACCTACAATTTTAATCTTAAACTCTTATTAACCAATTATTTATTTAAGAAGTCTCCTTTGGCTGTCTTAATTATTTCTACAGAATTATCACAAGTTGGCGTGACGATTTATTACATTGTCTTACACTAACATTAACGTTCACTGCACGAGTAAAATGTCTTCTTCCTTTTGAGCCTTCTGTTTATTGTAGAGTTGTCCAGTAATTGCAGCGTTTCTTATTCATTGACTTGGAAGTGGAATCGACCCTCATGTTTCGCAGCAAACCTCTTTATTTCTTCTTCGACTGTTGACATCTTCTCTGAGGATAATCGTTTCGATAGAAGTGAACGATGCATCTTAAGACTTTATTTTGAAAAACGTGTATCATGTTGATATTGTTCTTATCGCCACATCCCTATATCTGTACGCCATAAATCCAGACTGGATTTAGAATTTATAAATCAACAGTTTATTGTATACTGACAGCTTGGATTTTTCTTCATAAAAGCCAATATTTTTTTTTTAATTTAAGATAAGGTCTTTGCGTTTTTTCTTATATATTATCGGCTATCGGACGCTTTCCAATACGGTTTGCACAAGCACGTGTGAAAATAACAGAGTTAGCATTAGGCCAAGAAGGAAACGAATAATATCAGCAACAGCAATGCCAGTTTATACAACCCGACCAACGTTTTTTATTTAAGTCGTGCATTCTAGGTTTATTACTAGGTTTTTGGACGAATTTTGATGCGGAATAACATCATTATTCTTTTATTTGTTTTTATTCATTTTGCCGAAGAGTAAAATAAAATTTTTATTTTTCACTTTTTTGCACATTGATTGATTCTCTTGCAGGTTTCCTGGAGTTTTTCTGAGATCTCTGTATAATTTCGTCTAACTGCCAATATTGCAGTGTCATCCGCAAATGTTGCTATTTTAACATAATGCTGTTGAGAGATATTGTTGGTGTATAATAAGAATAAGTAAATAACTAGTACTAGCACACTATCCTGTTTAACACCTGCTTTAATTTCGGAGTATGCCTTATCTTGCTTTACTCTTTCCGTTAAATACAAGGTCTGACAGTTAAATAATGACACTCATTGCCAAAAACATATATTTTAAAATTTAAGGTCAATATACCTGTACAAAACGAGATGATTATTTGCTGAACTGTACATAAGACTATTGAACATAGTTTCAATCGCGATCATCAACTTACTGTCTATTTCGAAGGACTACCTGAAAATTCAGGAAAAAGAAAAATAACACAGTTATTTTGAATGAGCTTTTTATAGAGTTAAGTGGAAAAGGTCCACAAGTAAAATAAAATTCGTAACTAGTAAATTTACACAACTGTTTGAGATATAGATCTGGCAACGCTGCGATTTCTTTGGTTCGGCCGGCAAATTGCCGGAATATTGAGTAAAGATGAAAAAAATCTTACCAAATGTCAATTACACAACACAAGTTAACTACATACTAACAATTTAAGAGCTAGGAGAAATAAATTACACTAAAAAGCACTATTTAGATATAGATTGTTGTTCCCAGTCGATCGGTGCATAGACCTCTCTCGACCGGGGCTAGAATGCAAGTGGTCGACGTGGTCGTTATATAAGAAGAGGGTTGCGCGCGTCGTTGCTCAAAAAAACTTAAGTAGAAACGGAAATACTTTTTTAGTCCGTTGCAGCGACGCGAAGGAATTTAAATTTGAAACTGTACAAACTGTTAAATGTGATTTTAACAATACCCTTCAAAATACTCCCCTTGGGCAGCTACACACAGACTCCAGCGCTTTTTCCAGTTATCGTAACACTTCTGGAACAATTCGACTGGCACCCACAGAAGTGCCCTCCTCAGTGGTAATTCGTACAATCTCTTAAGGCTAAGACAGACTTCTGGGTGAATATAACAAGATCGGAAGCCTGTATCTGCTTGAAAAAGAACAGGCTATAATTATCACAACAGGGATCCTTACTGAACATTGCCGACTTAGTAAACTGAGAGTAGTAGAAGATAGTGAGTGCAGATATTCTGTGAGGATGAGTAGGACAAAACCTCAATTCACTTTCTGACTGAAAGTGTAGCACTCCGTAATCCTAAGGCACTATACCTAGTAGCATATCAAATAGAAGAGGGAGATTTACCTAATTTGAAGCCACTCCAAATCCTACACTTCCTAGAGCAGATAGGATTGGAAGGATTGGTATAGTCATTGAGACATTTCCTTGCTGCATTAGCGAGACCGAAGGGGACACAATAGATCTTTTAGTTCGCAGTGTATTAACACCCCATTCCCAACATAACATAACCCTCGTCACTGATGTTTGGATGTCAGTTACCGACTCGAAATGCATCCCTTTGACAATTCGTTTGGCCTGGGGAACAAAAAAGTCACAAGGAGCCGTAGGAATATGGGAAATATGGTGGGTGAGAAAACACTGGAATGTTTATTGAGACGAAAAGTTACGTTACACTGAAGGCACGATGACATGGCGCAATGCCATGGTGAAGGATCCATGTATTTACGATGTCTGGAGGACTGTTAACAATTCTTTTTTGTAATCTTTTAAGTATTTCGAGGTAGAATTTGTGATTAATGGTTTGCCCGGGTAACACGAACTCCCTATGCATTACCCCTTTGTTGTCAAAAAAGCAAGTCATCGTTTTGACTTTGGATTTTGTCATTTTTGTCTGTTTCGGCTTTGCTGAGCCAGGATACAAGCAGACACTGTTACAGGATCATACTGAAAGAACCAACTCTCGTCGCCAGTAATTGAAAGGTTGGATCATGTGCGACGGACATATCGTTGCTGAATATTACGTCGTTACTTTTCCGTGACATGCACCCTAGACACTGACTTGAAAAATAAGACAGCTGGATTACTAACGATGGCACGAGACTCGCAAATAAATCAATCTATAGAGGAAGAATATGAGATTGACCACGCGAAGTTTCAGCTTCATAATGTTGTCACATGCGCGACGAAAATCAGTCTCATTGCTTAAGGTGATTACAGCACCCCTTATAATTTTCGGACAACGATATCTCAGAAAAAAAAATTGTTAAAAAATTCAAATTTTGGCAAAATAAATGAGGTACTTTTATCTAGACATGCATATAATTTAAAGTTTTAATTCCTTCCAGTTTCCGTGAAAAAGAGCTTTAAATTTTAAAATTGAATAAAATAAATGCATTTTTCAACAGCACTATTCTTTAATATAATCCCCAAATTTAACCTCCTAATGTCTTGTTAATGATTTTTTAAAATTCGCCAAAATTAGTAGCTAAAACGCCCCGTTAAGTGCTGCCTTAAAATTAAATTAAAACTTCAAACTATATGTATGACTAGATAATATTACCTAATTTACTTTATAAAAATTACTTTTTGAGATATCCTTGTCCGAAAATTATAAGGGGTGTTGTAATCACCTTAATTGTAACACCACGTATATGATTAAATAATGATGACATATCGTCTAGAGAGCATTTTAGTTTCGGTATCAGGCTAGCGAACCGAACCTTTTCAAATGCTTGGGCCACATCAAGGGCTATATAGCTGAGCATATACGTTTTTCTTTATACTTTTCGGTGATATCAGCTATCCTATGTACTTGTTCTTTTGTCAAGTGTTTGTTACTAAAACCAAATTGGTGCGAAGGGATCAATTTTTTGTTTTTAATTATTGGTTTTAATCGTTTTAGTAGTAACTTCTCAAACAGCTTAGATATTATTAGTAATGATATAGGTCTGTATGATGACACTTCATTCGCAAGTTTTCCTGGCTTAGAAATTAGGATAATATCAACCATTTTCCCGGCATAAGGCAAAATCCTGGATTTATGAGGCATATTAATTTAACGATAGCCTTCCTTGGCAGTTTCTTTAATATTTCTCCACTAAATAAGGTCATATTCTGGGGTCTTCTGTAGATTGATGTTTGTCTGAATTTATTTTGACACTTGCCTAATTTTAACTTGTTCCATATTATGGATCATCTCGTTACGAGTATCTTGATTATCTTCTAATTTGAACGTCTTTTGTAGGTGGTCAGCGAAAATAATAGGTTTCTGTTGATCATCTCTTGTCCATTTGTTATCTGCTATTCTGATAGGACAGTGGGTACACGGTTTTATTTATCTTGTTAGTTGTCTTTCAAAGCGAATAATCAGTTTATTTGTTATCTATTAGCCCTACTAGGTATCTATCCAATGATTCTTTGTGATTTAGAATTTCTCTTCTTAGTCTTTAATATATTTTTTGTTTTCTGCTACCACTAGTTGTTAATCTTCTTACTTTTTGTGATTCTTTAATACAACTTGCTGAATTTCCACTATAAATTTTTCTAGTTCTTCTTCAAGTTAATTTTTGTTTTTATTATGGTCAGTTGGTAAGTCCTTTTGAAAATCTTCCAATTCGTTTACCGATTGCTTCTTTTCGAATAACATTATCACTTGGAGTTAAAGATTACTGCAGAATGGTCTGAATCCATATCAATGTTTTCTTCCAATTGTGTGTATAGTTTGTTGAAATTTTTCTCAGAATGAAGAAATCCAATAGATCATCTTATTTAGCCCACCAATAGGTCGAGTTTTCAGATTTATATGTACATCTAAGTTTTGTTACAGCTCGGTGCAATCAATTTTCATTGGATGCGGTTAATCTTGGAATCCCAAATCGTATTTTTGGAGTTGTAATTATCCACCTATTATAAATTTAGTACCTGGATTTTAAATACATTAAGATAAATTTCTTTTTTCTGGTTAATAGGTATAAACGACTACATTTGAGAAAATTGATAATATTTCACTCTGAATATTTATAATCTAACATCGACTTGAGAGTTGATTTGTACTTTGTTTCGACATTTTCAGCGAATTCGGATTTCGTAAAGATTAAAACGACTTTGGCACATAGACTATTAGATTCGAGAGACAATCGTCGACAGAACATCAACAAAATGGATTTGGACGCCATTCGAATCAAAATCGAATTGATGCAGATGATAATGGAGCCCCTCGAGAAGGAGAAATTGTCTTTGTCGGATATGCCGCTATCAAATAATCATGTTAGTTTAATAGCGAAACTTTTGGAAACAAATATCGATTCTATTACTGAACAAGAGGTTACCGATATCAGTTTGGAAATAAATCGATTGCACAGATTGATCCAGTTTGAACGAATCGGTTACAAGCCCTATTTGCAGCAACCGGGTATTCGAACTAAAGTAATTTTTTTTACAAATCTAAGTTTAAATTGTATGACGACGTATTAGTGCCACATAAAAAAAAATTAAAATTTTAAGGAATACATTTAAAATTTTTTGAATTTCCACAGACAACAACGATTGCTTACTTATGACGCCTTAAACTCGAAAAACACTCGGTGTTATAAATGTGGCTTGCTTCACAATCTCTCGATATGGCGTCAAACAAATTCTGGTAGCACCAGGTATATTCTAGGGTCAAAATTTCAGAAGAAATTTCGGATTCAGTAATAAGGCAAAAACGGGTGTTATACACTGTTTAATAATAGTATATTATGCAGCGATCATGTAATAATCATTACTTGAGAGTTGCATATGCTATTTTTTCTACACCCGATAAATAATCAAGAACTATAATTATTATATTTGTATTGAACACAATAACAGTAATTACTCGTATTTCTATAAAAAAAATCTACAAAATTGTAATTAATGGGTATCATTATAAAACGGATTATGGGCATATAAGTGCATTATTATAATACGGGTGTAGAAAAACAGGTAAAGTTAACAAATTTATTGCTTACAAAAGCTTTACTAATAATGAAAAACTAATTCCAACAGTGTTTTTTAAGGAATTCAGTGTTTCTTTGCAGTAAAATTTGAACAAAAGGTCTTAGGAAAAACTTTTGAGTATAAAAAGTGTTCCCATTTTTACAATTGCTGAGAAAATCTATGAGATATTTTAGTACCAAGTCCTTAGGAGGTGCTACTGACTGCGCCATGTTTTAAATTCTGTATTAATATTTGAGATAAGAGGGAATAATTAAACAACACATTTTAAAATACTTTATTCGACTACGACGCCTCGTAACAATCATCGGACATCTTATAATCTAATGCCAATTGACTTAGCCTGACAGAACATTGTTAACACAATTGCGTTTTAATATTACGTTAGTAATAAAAACGATATAAAACATATCCATCATATTTAATAATTTCTTATATGTAATTTATAAATACCTAACTGTAAAATTGTCATTCGTAGAAAAAAAATGGTAAATGAATTAAATTTCTCATATTTTTTATATACAACAGTTTTTCATCTGCCCTTCTATTATTGAAAAAAAAAAAAAAAAAAACTTGAATTCAGTTTTTCATTACTAGCAAAGCAAGATAGCAGACGATTCGATTAAAATTCGAATATGTTTATCAGAGCATTTATTTGTATTGAAAATACACTCTTTGGACAACATGAACTAGAGTAACTTTCTAATTGTGGGGAAGCATTTTTTTATCGCTTGTCAACAAAATAGGGGTAATAATAAAGAAATTTTGAAAAATATCAATACAACCCATAACGCTGGCAAAATGAAAGCCGTGGAAAACATTTTTAGTGTGGCGCCAATACGCCGTTATAAAAAAAACTGTTTTGAGTTTGTTCAATAAATTGTAGTATTTTGTAGAACTAACAAAGTTTACTTTTAGGTTGACGCCACCATTCAATTGTTAAATAAATACGGCAGATATGATGATTATCAAGATAGAATCATTAAAAATATGATGGAAGAGTTAAAAAAACTAACGTCTTCAAAAATTGCTCTTACTGATGCTGAAAAAAAAGAAATTGTAAAAGCTATTGGGCTAAGACCAGGACATTGGTACAAATGTCCAAATGGACATCCCTATGCAATTGGAGAATGTGGCGGGGCTAATCAAGAGTCCAGGTACGTTTTTTGTTCTCTCCCTCTCCTTCCTATCAGTTTTTTTTTTAGTTTGGCTGCTTTTAGTCTGTTTTATCTTGCCGTTTCAGAATTTTAACAATGACACAGAAAAGTACGTTTTATAACAAGTGCTGTATAAATATGTACATCTGTCCGCATTTTAAATATAAACTGATCTTTAATATATCAAAATTTTACAAATTAACTACTATCGAAGAGCGCGCAAACTCTTTAAAGATCAAAGTGACGTCATGTCTAAACTATGGCGTTAAGCAAAAACGTCTTGAAATCCAGCCAATAATAATTAAGCTTGCAGTATCCCTCTGAACGTTATAAATAGAACCGTTCCCTTGGAACCGAGAGCATTTTCATTACATCATTCAAACAAAGCTCACCATTTCGTAATAGTTTGAAGTCGGTTTTTTGCTCATCATTAAGTAAAGTTGCATATATCCAATATAATATTAATAATAATAATTGTTATTATTATTATTATTATTATTGTTGTTGTTTAGTTTCACAGTGTTTATGTTGTAAGGGTACACTGGTTTTTTATTAGGTTTGGACCGAAAATACACCGTATTCCTTGGGTCGCACCTATCCTAACACTCTGCGAGTGATGTGTGTGTTTCCTAGTATTGCATTGGTTTGGAGCTGTATAATATGGTTTTCCCTAATTTTATTCAAATTACGTTCTAGTCTATTAGTAATTGCACCGGTAGCGCCAATGACAACGGGTATAATCTGGGTTTTGATGTTCCACATCCTAGATATTTCTATGGCCAGATCTCTATATTTGAGATATTTTTCTGCCTCTTTTTGAATTGCTTTGCTATCGGCTGGAATTGCAATATCTATTATTGTACACAGGTTGTTTTGTCTATCTTTAATTATTATATCAGGTTTATTTGCTGTTATGTGCCTGTCTGTTTGTATTTGTTGGTTCCATAGGACCGTTACGTTTTCATTTTCAATCACTTGTTCAGGGCAGTGATGGTACCAATTCTTGGTCACTTCAGCCCCAATGTCCTTACTTATGCTGTAGTGTACTAACTTTGCTACATTATCATGTCTCTTAATGTATTCATTTTTGGCCAATATTGGGCAGTTAGACAGAATATGACTAATTGTTTCGTCCTTGGTGTTACATATTCGACATTTGGGATCTAGTGTCTGTTTCAGCACATTTTTTGCGAAGTACCTTGTGTTAATGGCTTGATCTTGAGCTGCTATCAGTAAACTTTCTGTTTCCCCTTTTATGTTTCCTTTAGTTTACCAGCTGAATGTATGCGTCTTGTTTATTTCTGGTTGTTCTTCATTTTGCCTTATATATTGTCCGTGCGTGACTTTTTCTTTCCAACTAGTTGTTATTATTATTATTATTATTACAAACAAATTAGGGCTGAGGAATGAATTCTATTAAGCCCAAAATTACAAAGTTCAATAACAAAGACAATTAGTAAATAAGCAATTAGCAAATAACATAATACAAACAAATAAAAATTGTGAATTTAATACATCGTAGATCTAGAAATATCTTAAATAAGTGTTTGAATAATTTTTAAATTCGGAAACAAATTTAAAAAATCCCGTACAAATTATTAAGACCATCCTCGAACTCCGAAAGGTGAAAACAAAAAAAGCCTGTCCGCGGGATTCGAACCCAGACAGTTTTGTTCTGTACAGACAAATGCCCTTACCTTACCGCTAGACCATGACGACATTGACAAGTTCTCAGACGCTGTTTTAGGCTCGTTACCAAATCATCAAATACCTCTCTACAGCATCGGTTTAAAAATAAAATAATAAAAATTAACTTTTGGTTTTCCTTAAAAAAGTCATCAAGTCGGTTTCTCAATACATTTACTGATTGCACGAACACTCGAATGTAAATTATTCCAAGTATGAAAAACTCGATTACAAAAAACGTTTTGTCAGGTACGTTTTTAAAATTTTCTTTGCTCACCTTATACTCATGTCCACGTAGGCGCTCATCAGTATTCCGTGGAAGAATACTAGAAAGGTTGGATCAAAAAGTACCATGAAAAATTCTGTAAGTCCAAATAAATAAACACAAATTCGCCATGTTAAGCCGTTCTTCATATGATGGTCTGATTCTGCCGAAAGGTATTCAAGTAGCGTAGCGTTGAACATTTCCCAATCTGTTTTGATCAGGACATCACGCAGGTCCAATATATTCCATCAACGTGTTGTATAAAGTTTAGAAAATGTTTAAATGTTCGCAGGTGTGAAGGACTATTTTAATAGGTCAAGCTTAATGATGGATTTGCAATGAATCCCAGGTCGTTATAGGAGTTCACAGACGCTAACGCATTACCATTTAAATAATAGTTCCGCACGGGTTATTTATTCCTATATGAATGACGATATATTTTTTCATGTTTAATGGAAGCAGTCGCAAGTGTCGCACCAGTTTGAAATAGTTTCAAGATCTTTTTTTAGCTGGATAGTCTGTCACAGGATTAGAGTATAGCTTAGTGTCATCAGCGTAACCGGAAATATTGGAATTTAAGTCTTTGTCTAGGTCCGCTGCGTATACCACAAATAGTAATGGCCCTATGAGAGAACTTTGAGGGACACCACATAAAACTGAATATTCTGACGAGAACATTTGTTCAACAGGTTCCACCTGACTGATACTATGGAAGATAGGGTGCATCTTACGTGTTTAAATAGTTTCTTAGGGTTATCGATACTAGAGATATATTCTTCGCATTCTCTGTTTCTTATGTTGTCCTTCATAATTTCAGATATATTTTTATAAAATAGTATCCACATAACTTCTACTAATACAGTACTTCTAAAAAAGTAATTCTAATCAATTGACAGGACTCTTTACGTTGTTAAAGTTTGTGACACTAGGTTACGTACCTATCGAGGAATTAAAAGTCGGTTGTCAATTGTGAATATAAGATCTAGAATTGATGGTTCTCGATTAAACAAAAGCGGGTAGATTCGTTTATAAGTTGTTCAAGATTGGAGTCTATAATTAAATTTATAAAGTGTGAAAGAAAGTTTTGCTGCACTTTAAGACCTGCAGTAAGTGGCCTGGGAAATTGAAATCCCCAACCACTACAAGATTGTCATGAGAAATAGATAGGTTAGAAAGTACCTCAAAAAGATAGATGCAGACCCCTCCACCAACTCTAGTTGCGCGGTCGCTTCTGTAAATTGTAAATCCAGGAATGATAACAAGTGAACCAGGAAAAGACAACTTGAGTTTTAGAAATTAGAATCATGCTGGGAGAAAAATGTTGCACTGAGCATAAAAAACTATTGAATTTAGCAGTTAGAGAATCCAGGTTAGTATACATAAGAGTCCAGTCGGAGGTTGTTGGCTAGAGGGATTGAAGGGAATTGTCTTCACAATTTTTGGAATACCGTTATGATATTTTATTGTTAGGTGATTTTCCCCATTCCGCTTTTTAGCTTCTAATTCATCTTTTAAGTCTTGAATAATCTGTTGTTGGGTAGAGGTTTTGTCGTTGATAATGGTAAAGATGCATACAAATCTGAGCATTCGGGCCGAATGAGCATTCGGATGCGGCATCGCGTATACATCTGAACAGGACATTAGTAGCGAGACACATGAGCTTCCATTCGGACCGCTCCATGAATGCCCAAATCAGTGCGTTCTCAACGCCTAGCTAGCCTCTCTTTCCACACAGCAGATTTGAGCGCATTCGCCGCTCGTGCTCACTTTGATGTACCGACAAGATTTGGATTGGGCTGAGCCTGTTCTCCGCACGTTGCTCAGTCATCCACATCTGAATGCTCATTCGCGCTCGCCTTACTCATTCGGCCCGAATGCTCAGATGGGAACGCACCTTAATGGTTTTCAATGTTGGTATTTCTAAGACTTTCTTTTGTTTTTTTTGGCGGCGTGCTCGGAAGGCATAATTAGTTTGAGCCATCGGGGATAGCGACTATTTTGTTCAGCTTTTCCAACGCGCAAAAAAGTGACAGGTTGATCGGAAGAATTCACTGCCTTTCTATGGAATCATATTGCTATTTTCTCAAAATTTTCATTAGTATAGGAAATGACACGAATAATATTATTGGCCCTTTTAAGGCGATCGACCGCTTCATTTGCCAGTTTATCAAAAAATATTACTGATGTTACTTCATCAACCTGATTAATTTATCCTGAACATCGGTGAGTCTAGTTTAAACGATTCAAAGAGCTTGTATGTCGCCAAATTTATCGAAATGTGAACTACAATTATTGCAGATAATTTGAATTCCTCGTACTTTGTTTTGAGTGAAGCGATCGTCAGTCGTTAGCTCAGTACAGTCCACGTGTAAGTGCCTCTTGCAGCCATCGCACTGCAGATTATTTCGATCGCGATCCGATACCGATTTAGAACAATTTGCGCCAATGCTGGGCAAGGCAAATATAAAGAATTTATATCTTGCCAGTTGAAAAGCAGGAATCGATTAAAACATAATTTTATATAAATAAAAAGTTCACTGGTTTATTCGGTCGTTTTTATTGTTTTTATAAAATTTAAGTACATGCACTACATATGTCAATTTGTTTTACATCGTGTGGAGGTGTATTCCAAAGATGGAACAGTGTTTTCCGAATCATATGTAGTACCTGTACTTTTATTTTATAAAAACAATAAAAACGACCGAATAAACCAGAGATCTTTTTATTTATATAAAATTCTACTACGATCAGGAAATTATCCTTTTTCGAATTTCATAATGTTTCAAATTTCTTGTTCTGTCAGTGAATAAAATCTGGTTTATTGTTTTTTAAACCGGCATGTTTTACTTTCCATTGACATATTTCCATAAAGAATATATATGATTCATTCCTGAACTATTATACAGGGTGAGATCAAGTGCAGAAAAAAATCACAGTACAGATTAAGTTTCCTTCACCGAATGGCACACTATACTTTTTCTACGACAATGAAAGATAACACGATCATTGTATATGTGTAGTTTCACTAATCGCTTTCACCTTTATCCAC